GAAAAGAAAAGAAAAGAAAAGAAAAGAAAAGAAAAGAAAAGAAAAGATAAGAAAAGAAAAGAAAAGAAAAAAAAAAAAAAAAAAAAACTGTTAGAAAGGGACAGCGAAGTCCTAGGTGCTCTCACCAGGAGTCTTGTCTGATGCCATGCCAGGTACCAGGGAAGAGGCAGGGGAGCACAATACTCTTGCAGACACACAAATGTAGAAGAGGGTATAGGGGATGCAGCATGTGAGGAAACGTGGAAAAGAATTGCTAGCTCTCTGAGAAAAGAATCTTTCATGGCAACTAGCATTGGTGCTACATATTCCCCCCATCCTCGCTTCTCTCCACACGGGGCAGAAACGCACTTCTGCTGTGGCACTTTGCTCTAGGGTTGGGAAGAGGCTGTATGCTGAGATCTGCGGGTAGAGATCTACCGGGGAGAGCTGACCCACCCACGCGCTCACACACACGCACGCGCACGCATGGAGTTAACTAATCACACTCGAACAATTTAGCAAGCCATTCATTCATAACTTCCCCCCTTCTTATCTAGCAGTGGTGTATGCTTAAAGGCTGAGTTACTGGGAGACATAAAGGTTAGTGCTCTCAGGACAGCCATATTATAATGCATTATCTTTGAAGTCATTTAAGGCCAATTTAAGTGGTATTTAGTATAATATTTATGAATTAATGTAATCTAAATATAGGACTGTCCCCGTAGGTTTAAACAGCCTTTTCTACTGAAGCATGCTTGTAACCAAGGTCTGAAATGTGTTTTAATTTAAAACACACAGGTCTCCATAATATTCTATTTGGGAAGTCGGAAGAAATCAGCATTGCACACTTAACTGAGATTTACTGAAACATGCGGGTGAGCGCACTTAAAAGAGTGGAGACAGCATACAGTAAGGAAGAAAGCGTCTTTCATGGACCTGAGAGCTGCAATATTCTTTCCAGCCTTGTTTAGAGAGGGGTAAACACAAACCCCCCAAAAACTTCCCCAGCATCCACTATTGCAGTCCTGTGGCTGGTATGGTGTACCTGCCTGACCTGATAAGTATTCAATGCAGCTAGAAAAATGCAGTAGGAAAAGAATAGTTTAGTTCTTTTACCACTATACCTTCTCAAAAGTATAAATAATTTTGGAATTTAAAGTACCTAGGAGGTAGGTAAACAAGGCTTCCATTCATTATATTGTTATGTTTGATTACAAAGAAAGATGATAGAAAGATTAAAACCTTGTTAAGTCTAAGGATGTTTATAAATGTTTTGGATACCGCAGAAATTCAGAAGTGCAATGAAGATGTGCATTCAATTAATATACAAATATACATATATACAAATATATTTGTATATATGTATAAATGTATAAATTTATGTGTGTGTATAAATACAGGGAAAAAAATGATGTATACACATTCATACATATTGCCTTTGAGAAATGGAAATTTAGCTGAAAAGAAACACAACGCAATACAGGTGCTGAATAAACTCCTCCATAATTGAAGCATAAGGCTTGCCTGGCTGAAAGAAATGCATACAGCATTTAGTATGGTAGTAAACCAAACAAGTTTTAGGGAGGTAAATGCACAAATAAACTGAAATAAAACAGAAGGGACTTTATG